CAAGTGGTATCAATAAGCAAAGTGACACGGAAGGTTTGCCTGAGGTTTATTTTCCTCTTCTAAAAAAGGATGTCTCTTTCTGTTAATAAACAATTCTAGAACTTTCTAAAAATTTTGACTCAGATATATAAATAGTGGTAAAATATATGATAGGACAAATAACAACACATAATGTCACGACAAAATTCTAACTGTGTAAAAGAAATATTCGAGATTCATCGTTTGGTTTTTTTGCTGTAAAACAGGTAATGATTCTTTTTCTTTATATTCTGACTAGAAGATTTTAATATATACAATTTTATTTAGAATCAGGAAATTCTTGTTCTACACTTTTCTTGATATGACAATTGACCGTGTAACATTACTGCATGAAGCATCTTCACATACAAAAGAACATGTTTATTTAATTACAACTCTCGACTGTTGAATTTAATGTCAACTAGATGTAACTCTGCGTTTTAAGAATATTATTGAATTACTGAAGATGGCCAGATTGTGGCCGAAACGTTTAATGTTTTAATGAATGTAATAATAATTAAATATCACAAACTATAACTTGTGCTGTGGTTTTTTATGCTCTTATTTTTTATATGTGTTCATATAAAAATGTATTTATTTTAAATATAAAAATATATATAAAAATATGAAATAAGGTGTAAATGTTTATTATTTATATCCATCTTTTCAATTTAATATTTAAAAAATCTTTATTTTTTTACTATAAATGTAATACTATACAATAATTATTCAGGGTTATACATTTCGATAATACAATACATTTTAATAATACAATACACGACCTTTTTTACAAAGATAATGTCCCCATGGTAATGTTTTGGTTGAATTCGATATGATGTATTGTTTGTCATCGTACGGACTTAGAACGATTATCGTACATACTTGATGTAATTTTGATCTTATGCACAACTGTTGACGCGTTATTTCAATTTCATCGTTTGAACATCGGATGTAATCATCGAATGTTATAGTTCGCGCTACTTTGACATCTTTCGCCTTTTTAGAGTCCTTTTTACCATCTACCCTCAATGCATACATTTTCGCTCTGAGTGCGATGAATTCAATCAATATTGCGCCATTATTTTCATCCTTAATTAAGCTTGGCATTTTTTTGTTCATAAGTGGTATACCATACACATTATCGATAAAGAATAATCACACATGTCGAACTTAATGATATCACGCTTCATTTGTTCATAAACGTCATCACACTCGATGCGATATATGAGTGTCTGTGTACATATAATTTCACATTTTTTGTGATATAACGATAACATATATTTGTGGTGAAATTCATACAAATAGACTTTCGATATATCGAGTATATACTTCCTACGTAGATCAGTTTGTTGAATTTCAACTCAAGTTTACGAATTGTTATCAGATTTTCAGAAAATAAAACTTCTGAAAATTCGGCTTCGCGATCATTGCCTCTGCGTCCATCCCATTGTGTTAATAATTTTACATTGACGTGATTGCGCACGTTCTCCATTTGCTGAATACTGCATTATTCATTAACTTAAATAAATTTTTCTCAAAGTCATTCTTCACAAGTGTTCTAAATTTTTTGTATTAAGTTCTATGTAATCGAGGCGAAGCCATGATAATTGTGCGAATTGCAATATGCGATGAATCTTTGTTATATGAAGACCGTGAAGCATGCACTGTCGCAAGTTGCGATAATGTATAACGTTTTTTGTCATACACAGTCACTAAAAGTTTATCCTGCTGCTTGCCAAGTAGTTTATCACGCGTTGGATAGAATGGCAGGTCAACGTGCTCGTGCAAACGCTCCGGATATTCTAAGTCGACCTTAAGAACGTAACCTGTGAGCGAATCCTAAGCAATCGCGCTAATGTCAAAGTCCGAGACGTTTTCAACCCAACGAAATTTGGCACATGGCAACGATTGATACATCCGTATAAATTATTAACATCGAAGTACATCAAGTACATAAAAGGTTGCGACGGGTCGTACGATATATTTATATCTGCATATATTTGTTATTGGCTCACGCGTACTTGCTGGCATATTGACTAAGACCGCTACGTATACCGCGCTCAATAAACATCACCATATCGATGTTAGTGAGCAGTTTGAAATTTATGCGTGTATGTTTCAGCATAGCGTCCCACGTAAAATTTTAAAGTATAATAATACGCAGAGTCGAGACCGTACTTTCAATACATTTATTGCGAAAATTTTCAAATATGTCGGCTAACAGCAACACGTCTGTTTTTAAATATAGATCGCTGTATTCACTCAAGGTTTGAACAGAGATATATTCACGGCGTGCGCGTAATCACTTTCGGATACAGTGTCACCAGTCAAGGAACTGTAGAATGATTCGCACGATGGTAAATGCGTATTCTGCAACTTGTCAGCGCAATCAATGTATTCGTATGGAAAAATCCCTTTTCGTATTAATAACTCGAAGTTTTCTTCGGACAGATAGACGGATTCTCGCCGGCATCCGCAGTGTCGAGTGCATCGCGTCCAGTGCACACGTTATCAAGAAAAGTAGAGAGAGAAGAATTCGCAAGTGAAATCATGAGTGACGAAATAGCCACCTTGCTGACCTCCCAGAGTGACCTCCACGGTCGCATGGCCAGGTCAGTGACCAATTTGAGGAAGCTGGGGACAGCCAACATCACCCTCCGCGCTGTCGAAGCCCGCTTGGCGCTTCTCGACCAGATGTGGACGGAATTCGAAAAGCAACACAAGCTTATTCAAGTTCATTACAAGGACGCCTTCGATCAGAGTGAGTACAACACGTCTCAATTCATCGATTCCGCCGAAAACACGTACGTGCTGCAGCGCGGCCTGCTGAGCGAGTACCTGGCAAAGCTCAAAGCTGAAAATTCTAGTACAGCTCCTCCAAGTGCGAGAACCGATTGTTCTACCAAGTCGGCGCTGCCGCGCTTAAAAATCCGATCGTTTTCGGGCGCGTTTGAAGACTGGCCATCGTTTCGGGATATATTCTTGTCTGTCGTTGGCAACAATCCTCAAACGTAGAGAGACTTCACCATTTAAAGCATTGCTTGGAAGGACCCGCGAAGGCGTTGATACGCCCGCTGACCGTAACCGGAGACAACTATTCGCGCGCGTGGGCGCTGCTCTTTAACTCACACGGATTCGACCCTTTGAATCATCTAGTCATCGAGCTTTTCGACCCGAAAACGCGTCTCAAGTGGGAATCGCACGTGAGCAATTCCACGGACTTGCCAAACCATGACACGTTGCTGGACTTTATCACAAGGAGAACGCTAACTCTCAAAGCCGCCAAACCAAAATCGCTCAAGGTCTCCGACAACCCGTCGCGATCCGCCAAGTCGCATCACGTCAAGAAACACACCGAGTCTTCTCAATGCGTCCTATGCAATAGGCAAGGGTAAGCACCACGTGATGGTGTGTGAAGAATTCAAGAAACCATCCGCGGTCGACCGCAAGGCCGTCGCTCACAAGCTGTGCTTCAACTGCCTCGGCTCTCATACATTCGCGAAGTGCCAGTCGGGAAATTTCTCTGATCCCCGAGACTCTGGTCCAGCGCCTACGCTTGCCACGCTCTTGATCCGCAATCGAAGTCATCGGCATCAGCGGCAAAAGCTCCGGACCCAGCAGGGGAAAGGTGACGCTCAAGCTGACCTCGTTAACCACAGGGACGGACTTCAAAGTCGGAGCCTTTATTCTGCCACGTCTTTCGCTTTACTAAGGCTCTCACGCAAGGATCAGAATGGAGTGGCCACAGCTAAAGGGGCTCCAATTGGCTGATCCGGACTACGCAGCGAACGACTCGATTGAGCTACCTTTTGGAGCGGAGGTATGCTCAATCATTCTCCAGGATGGTCTCCGCAAGGGAGGCCCCCAAGCGCCTATCGCTCAAAAGACACTGCTCGGCTGGATCTTATCGGGAGGTTGCGACCAAGTAACCAACTCAGCACAGCGCCACTCGCTTCAGTGCACTGCAGATCATGAGCCAGCCGACCTTGTGCACTGCTCAACCGCCGATCACGCCGATAGTCAACTCGCCGATGACGACGGACCGCGTTTCCCTCGAGGCGCAGATCCGTTACGATACGACTGCTACGTCGACGATGTCGTAACCGGAGCGCATGAAAAGGACAACGCTATCGCTCTCCAAGTAGAGCTCCGCAACCTCTGCATGGCGGGCGGGTTCTCTCTCCGAAAGTGGGCCGCCAACTGCCAGGATTAAATATTAAATTAACAGAATATTAAATGCGGTCACCTTTTCCAAATGATATTTTGGAATCGCGGTAATGGAAATTTGAAATTCGCGTTGTAAAATTCGAAATTCATTTTTATTGAGAAAGGATGCTAAGAGGATTTGTCGAGACTGGTACTTAAAAATTTATAAGAATCGATGAATCGCAATTTTATGTTATTTCGCTAAATGATATTTTTCCTTTGTTATTGGTAATAATTCTATACTGTCTTTATATGTTGTATTTCTTTGATAATAAAATGTGAATCATAGCTTGATAAATAGTGGAAAACTATGGGAATAAAATCTGAGTTTTTATAATTTAAAATAATGTAAGATTAAAAAGGCATACACCACGAGCGCAAGATGTTAATAACAAAATATTTATATTTTAATAGATTACAAAAGAATAAAAACAATACAATATTTTAATAGATTACAATAGAATAAAAACAATACAATAGATGGTTCGGTCTTATACCAGGCCATCTTCAGTACAAAATTATTATATGTATTACTATATGTATTATAACTTCCGTACATGTTGAGAACGCTTAGTTTCGAATAAATTTTATTCACATTATAATAATGAAACAAAAAATTCACGCTCAACTATATTGTAATTATATTGTATTTTCCAAGAGCTTGACGCTAAGGTTATTATTATAAAAAATTTTTAGTCCATAAAAATCATGTTAAATACTTCAGATGTCAATTGTCATTTTTTTGTCACAACGGTTAGTCAGACTTATTGAAACACATAATTTCTAGATTCTATTAAATGTGTGTGAAATTTATTAACAAAAGCTCTTAAATTAAAATAATAAATTTATCTGTGATACATATATAAATTATGATACCTGTGTTAACAATAAGTTGTAATGTGAAATTCAAGACTTGAAAAACTGTATTGAAGTAATCAAGAATCGAAAACACAATATCTAACTCTGATCATGACAGATGGTTTGTATATAATTTATGTCCTACGAGTGGAAAATTCTAGAATTATGTGGAAGACGTAATGTTTAACAAAGGCAAATTTGCTTCTGGTAATTTTTCAGTGTCATTTTGTTTATTTATTCTGTTTTTTGAAGATCATTTCTGACATAAGTCTCTTTTGAAAGAATGGTTCTATATCTAATATCTGAATATTATCTCAATTAGATTTGTGACAATATTCAAGTTGATATTGTGAGACCACATTGTGAGGACTGTTTAGTTTTTTTAATGTTAGTTTTATGTTTATTTATTCTAGAGTTAGATATTGTGTTTTCGACTCTTGATTACTTCAATACAGTTTTCCAAGTCTTGAATTTCACAATTTATTGTTAACACAGGTATCATAATTTATATATGTATCACAGTTAAATTTATTATTTCAATTTAAGAGCTTTTGTTAATAAATTTCACACACACATTTAATAGAATCTGGAAATTATGTGTTTCAATAAGTCTGACTAACCGTTATAACAAAAAAATGACAATTGACATCTGAAGTATTTGATATGATTTTTATGGACTAAAAATTTTTTATTATAATAATCTTAGCGTCAAGCTCTTGGAAAATACAATATACAATAATTACAATTGAGCGTAAATTTTTTGTTTCATTATTATAACGAAGAATAAAATTTATTCGAAACTAAGTTCTCAACATGTACGGAAGTTATAATAACACATATAGTAATTTTGTAATACTGAAGATGGCCTGATATAAGTCTGAAACGGACTATTGCATTGTTTTTGTTCTTTTATAATCTATTAAAATACAAATATTTTGCTATTAACATCTTGTGTTCGTGGTGTATGCCTTTTTAATCACATTGTTTTAAGTTTAACCACGTTTTGACTTCTATTTTTTTATAAATTGCTATTTTAAATTGCAATTTGAATGCGCAGGACCTCTGTAATGACCGATTAAATGGCATTGATTGTTTACTCGATTATCGTCTAGCGCGAAAGGCTTTTCGCACACGTGACAATGCGTCGTGCTGCGCAATATCTCCCACTTCGCTCGACAAAGTTTCCATGGAGACATTAGCTGCTAAAATTTTTTTACGCGATGTGCTAAACTTCTCAGTTTTTCGACCAACCATGAAACGCAATCCGGATCACGACGAAATCGATATTTTAATAGCGAATCGTTGTATGAACAGTGCACGTAGTATCATATGCTAAATACTTGATGATGATGTTGATACGTGTGCGTAGATGTTTCCTGATCGCTATCAGTTTTCGGAAATGCATTCTAGATCAGGGTAAACGACAAATGGAATTCATTTCTTCCTATTATAGTTGTTAAAACTCAACCACTTGTCGTCGTCGCTCGGTAGTAAGATAGCGCAGTCGTTTATCGGTCAGCAATCTATCATGTGTGACTGCAATCTCTCGTTGGAATGAAAATAATGTAAACAGCTACAAATAAAAATAAATAATGTTAATTTTTTTTAAAAGAATTTCGCTTTTATTAATCATATACTTATCGATCGCAAATATACTTTTGACTGTGATGTTTACTCAATTGCGAGACATGAGCCGAGACAGATTCTTGATCCACACGAAATGGCTCACATTGTTGTCTCGCGGATCTTGCAAATATAGTAAATTAACATGTTTCTCTTTTCTGTCGTCAGTGAGTCGTATTGGGAGAAATTTAGTGTTTTCTTTCCCTTGATATCGTATACATTAATGGACACGTTGTTGAGACGTTCGAATTTCGTTACATCTTTTAACATTATAGGAAATTTTATATTTTGGAAGTTCAGCACCATATAGCGTGGGTACAGATTCACGATCCGCGTTTCTTTCGACTGGATACAGAGCGGCGACTATCGATCACGCAAAGCATGCCTTGTTCATCGATCGCACATTAATCATCGCTTATCATTATCTCTCGCGGCACTTCAAAGCGACATCCCACGCGCATTGGATTACACTTATTAATGTTTATTGTAAGATTCATGATTCGCGACAACGCTCACCCACATTCTTGAAATTCCTCAAGAGATGCCAACATGGGTTCGACGTGCCGCTCGTACTACTCACGCAAGTTCGATGTTTGAAAGAGTTCATAGTTTTTAGTATTAATACTTTTATTAGCACATTTATCACCCGTCGCAAACGGTTACTCACCGTTAAATATCGTGTTCACTTTTATACAGTTGTGTCTTTTTATTGTGTCTTGCACTCGCTCGAGCACTACACTGCTGATGTCTTCTAAAAATCGTCGCGGCTCGATATAGTCTGCGTTAATTACCGCACTGATTAAAATTCGATTTTCAAACACTGCATCGATCTCTCGCCAAACAAAAAAATCTTTCCACGTTATTGTCACACGTTATTGCTAGTACTCACATAATCATCACCAAAATGCAGAAATCTTTCTTGAGTCTTTGTACTCTCGAGTCGTGCGATTGTAGCGATTAGAGATTGTCTGTATCCAATGGAGAGTCGTGGACGCTTGATATAATTGTATTCTTCAATTGTAAGCTGTTTAATAAATTCATTGCATTCTTTTATCCACGCGAAACACTCCTTCAAAATAGCAATTTGAGATCGCTTCAACAGATCGCGCTCCATTTGATTGAAATCTCGATCCATGTTTTGGATAACGATTTACTAACAGTAAGACGAGTTCACTCTCATAGATTTCAACGTACTGTAATCTGACACATTTCTAGACTGAATTTATTTTCATCTTCCTCTTTTTAGAGTAGAACATTATGCGCTCATTTTCAAAGTAAGCTTAAAAAAAAATGCTCCACCTCTTATAAAAATTTATGAAAATACAATTCTATCGAGTTTCACTTACATTTACACTTCTACCAATCTTGAAACATATTACAAAAACATGTTCGATTGTCATGTCCCCTCCCAAAAAAAAGGATAAACG